AAAGTTAAAATATAATTATTAAATGATATTAAAAATATTTATTTTATTTAATATATCTATTTTATTAAATATATTTATTATATTAATTATATTAGTTATATTTATTATATTAATATAAATTTAAAATATATAAATATAATAAAAAATAAAATCTTAAATATTATTAATTAATTATTACAAAAATTTAATTAATCAATAAACTATTTTTTATTTATTATTAATAAAATTTATATATTAATTAATTAATTTATAATTATTATATATTAATATACTTATATTAATTTTGTATTATTTGATATTAATTAAAATTGCTAAAAAAATATTAGTATTATATTGCTTTAAAATTGTTTTATATTAAGTAAATATATTAATTTATTAATAATAATAAGAGTTTATTTAATGAATAAAAAAAATATATTACATAATATTTTAAAATAATAAAATTTAATAAGATTAAATATATAAAGTATAATTAATATAAATATTAATTGAATATCTATTTTACAAAATTATCTATTAGAAATTTACTTGTAATAATATTATTATAACTTATTATAATATAAATATATATTATTTATCTTTAATTATAATCTTTAGTTTTTTTTCTTATAAAAACTTAGTCTTTTTTATCTTATAATTAATAAAAATATATAAATAATATATAAATAACTTGAATTTATAAAAATAATAATAATATAATTAATAATTATTTTTTATAAATTTTATATAGTAAAAATATGAAAAATATAGATTTTTTATATAAAAGTTTTAAATTTTACTAATAAATATTTTTTATATTTACATTGAAATAAAGATAATATCACATAGTTTAATATATATTTTTTCAAATTTTTAGATTTAATTTGATAAAATTATTCTAATTACATATAAAGTTAATTATTTTTTTATAATAAAAATATATAAAAAAATAATTAATTTTATATATAATTAGAATAACTTTATCAAATTAAATCTGAACAAAATATTTGTTAAATATATAATATTATTTTTATTTTAATGTAAAAATAAAAAATATTTATTAATAAAATTAAAAACTTTTATATAAAAGAAAAATCTATATTTTTCATATTTTTATTATATTTTATTAATAAATTTATTTTAGCATTTCATTTTTTATTGTTATTGTATATAATTTTTTGATTATATTATATTTTTTTATTTAATTATATAATACTTATTAATATATAATCCAAATATTTTTATCAATATTGTCCTGATTTTGTTGATTTAAATGCAAAAATATTCATCTATAAATTGCAAAAATCTGATTATATATTTCAAAAATATAAATATATTCAAATTTCTCTATAGTTATTACTCTTAAGAAAGTAAAATTTGGTGATTATAGAGAAAATATGACTATAGAGGAATTTTTTACTATATTTATATGTAAATAAAAAAGCAAATAGAGTGACTATAAAGAGGTGTAACTATAAATAGGTATGACTATAGAGAGATTTGACTGTATTCAACAATATCATACAAATTTAATATAAAATTAAATTGGAAATCAGTTAAAATTTGTAATAATATTCATATTCAAAAGAAATCAAACTGAAAAACCAGTTATGTAAACTATAATTAGTTTCAAATTTGATTCATATTGGTGATGTTGTTAATAAGTATTTGGTCTTTTCATTGGTGAATCAAATATTTGATAGCAATGGTGTTATGCAGAATTCAGCCAATTATTGAATGTGTTACAGATATAGGTCATGTGTATTAAGTCAATCCGGATAATTAAAAGATTATCCGAGTTGACTTGATCCTTAATTTGTTTGCGGGTAATTATAAGCAAAAGTATATTCTCAAAAACAATTCAATTTATAGTAGTTCTTTAACAAGAATATTATATGTATGAAATAATCACCATACAGTTTGGTCATTTTCCAAATTTTGTTGGAACGCATTTTTGGAATACACAGGTAAGAGAAACCTGTCCTAATAGTACAACTCAGAATTCATTGTCATTTCTTTTGTGCTCGCCGTACTTTAGGAAGCATATTTCTCATATGATGATCCCGGTGCAACGTCAGATTCACCAGAGATTTTGCATGATGTTTTATTTCGAACGGGTGTTACTGAAAGGGTGATTATTATGATCAATATAATTTGATCCGATTTATTTTATATTTTGCTAAAAGTTTCATCGTGTTCGATATACATAGAGTATCGATACATATACTCCTAGATTGATAATTTATGAATTGAAAGGTAATTTTTGTTGAAAATCGGGAGACGGACAATTGAGTGGAGTTTATTGATTATTTGATGAATGTCATGTACAATATTTTTAGGTGGATTCGGATCAATGAGCAAGAGGAATAGACTTTATCACGATTTCTATACGGAAGAGCAATCTCAAGCAAAAACATGGTTTGTGTTGGAAACATGAATAATTAGTTTTGATTCAACAATTCAGTTATCGAAATTTAGTATTATATAATAGGGATTGGGGAGTTGAAAAGCATGCACATGAACCATACAACAAAAATGAATTTTTGAGAGATTTGGAGGCCGAAGAAGTGAATATTTCTTCCTCATTTAAAAATACATTAAAGTTATTATTAAATAGTAAAAAAATAAATTCGTTTCTTTGTGAGTTAGGAAACTTCCACTTTGCCATCCGAACAACAAGAAGCACCACCACCAATCGAAGAAATAAATTATAATCTTGAAGAAAGTGTGAAAATGTGGTCGGACTTTAATCGCGTATATTACCATCCGAAAACGCTGAATCAGATCAATCAGTATCAGTTTGACGATGAATTTATGCCGTTTGATGTGTTCTCGTATGGACAAGAGTGTTTTGTGCAACATGAAAAGGTTTTTTGACATTTTTTTTATATATAGCTGTGCTGTATTTACAAAGATAATAGAGTCGTAGTTATTATAATTTTGTTTGGACGTTTTTTTTTTTAGGAAGAATCGACATTTGATGAGAATTTTAGATTCTTTGCGGAAGAGTGTGACATCATTCAAGTAATTTTTTCAGAATTAGTAAAGTCTTGCACTTTTATTGTTTTTTTTTAATTTGATTAAATAATGCAGGGATTCCAAATTTTCACGGATATTTTGGATGGGTTTGGCGGGTTTTCATGTAACTTTCTTGAGCAATTACGCCAGGAATATCCGAAACATGCGGTCTTGACTTATGGAATTACAAACAGCCAGAAATTAGTTTCGCCACATTATTCTGTAAAAGAGTTTATTAATTCATTCGCTTTTTTTTCTCGCTATATTGATCCATACCAAATAAATTTAATTGTTTTATTAAGCTTAAGCATTACCATAAGCAAACTCTCAATTCTGCATTCAGCACAGTACAGTTCAACGAAATGTCATCAATTTACGTTCCACTGACCACGCCAGCCCAGGCCTCCAAAATTTCCAAGTATACCCGGCCCAACGTACGCGGTCGTCGTATTTCTATATGTATGCATTGAAACAAAACCAAATTTAAACAAAATACTTTAATCATGATACATTCACTTCTCTCTTTATTTTTTGCTCTTTTTTTGAAAAGCCACATCTCCCATATCATTCTAGTGCAATACTTTCGGCTGCCACAGAAACAGCGTCTCTCGCTTTTCGGCAAGCATTCCTTTAAATCAAATTTCATTTAGAATGTTCGCGTTAATTATTGAAACAAATTATATTATGTATTTTCAATAGATTACGCCACGGATTCATGTCCATGAATGATTTGTTTGGGCAGTTGAATTGGCGAGGAAATACTAAAACCGGAAATTTAGGGTCGGCGTTTCCGCTTCCTATTAACATGCATGGAGATATTGATGTTGAGTCGTTAGACGATCAAGCAGGCCCGATTGAAGATTTGTCGATACGAATTGAACATGGAGCGGTATTTAAGTTGTTTTCATGTAAAATTTTATTTCTATTTGTTCAAATATATTAATACTTTGATTTTACGAATTATTACAGAAAGTATCTGTTTTTGGTCAGTCTATTGTATTAAGAGGGTTACCTAAAGAATTTCCGTCTCTATCGGAAGACAGGTTTGTTGTTTGTTATTAAAATGCTGTAACTTTGCGAATTAAAGTGTGTATTTTCTTATTATATACCTAGTAACTATTCCTTTTTACACTCAGACCTGCAAATGCATCCGAGATAAGATCCAATATATTACAAGATTTTGAACAGTCTGGTTGTCCAAAAACCTTGAGGTGATTATTTTTTCTGATTTCTTTACATTTGGTTGATTTCACATATTTCAAATAGATTATTAATTCTAAATTAATTTGATAAATTTTAAATTCGAGAGCCATACCACAAAATTGCCGTATCCTATTCCAAATTCATATCCGCAATTTTTCAATCATTTAAATATGGATGGTTATGTCAAATTTGGCAGGTAAATATATGTATATAATAACAAAATACTGTTTTTGATTTTTATGTAAAACACAATGGATTAATACTTTACTATATGGATTATATAACGGCTACAAGTATGGATAAAGGTTGGTATAATGTTTATTCTTTATCAAGAAAGAAACACTAACTACTTTATGCAAAATTCTCACTGATTTATAAAGTGAAATCTGTTCCTGCGCTTTCCCGCCTTGCCGTTTCGTCTAAATCGCGTCATCTTTTCAAAGAATATTTGAATGTTCTTCCTCAAATCAATTTCAACCTTTATCCACAATACGGGGAAGGTGTGCAAGGTTTGACACAGGATTCTTTTGTCGAGTTGAAAGAGGCGATGTTTGATCTCTGTGATATCTATGAGGCGGATTGAGAGATCTATATATGTAAATCTGATTTAGTAATCGATCTCTTTGAGATTGTTCGGTATGATCTTTTTTTGTTATTGTAGTTTATTTTGTATAACAGTCGAGGAATACATAATGTATGCTTATAGTAAAGTAATAAAGAAGACCACGTGATCGATTATTTTACCAGTTCTTGAGGTCAACATTGCTCTTTATAAGAATATTGCGGAAATCTCCGTCATTTGTAATCAACGACCAATAATTTTTGTTAGAAATCGACATAGAAACATCATGTATTGCTCGGGGAGAAACATTCCACGCGCATGCGCAGTAGCATTCAAAACTCCTCAGGTACGTAGTGCAACGTGACTGCGTCATCAATTGCGTAAGCTATGACTTGAACTTTAAACAAAATTTGGTACACTTATCTATATCTACTTTGTTCTTTATCATACTTTCGTAGCCGCGTGGTCAAGTGTGAGAAAGTCTTTTGTGTAAGTTGCTGAAAGGTATAAAAACCCTTCACACACCTACTTTCTGACCCAACGAAAATATATATATATAAACTTTTACACAATTTTTTTGTTTTCTTACTACTATTATTATTATTACTATTACCGATTTCAGTGATACAACAGTTAGAAAATCTTCGAAGAGACAGACAGACATACAAAAATTCATCTTAAAAATGTCAGATTCAAATAAAGGAAAAGCAAAGCTTTCGTAAGTATCTATTATTTCAAGCAGGTGGTTGGATACCATTAGTTGCATCAGTTTGGTGAAAAGATAAAATTTACTTACTGTTCGTTTTATATTTTGAATCGAAACTTTATTTATTGGCTTTAATGCTATTATGCCTACTATCAATGACTCGCTGCTTTCGTGGTTGACATTTATTGGTTACAAAATGCGCTTATATGATCTTCATACCACAAAGTGACAACGCAGCAATTACTCCACAAAACGTAGATCCAAATGATCCAGCAACCGCAATATTGCGCAAGAAACCGGCCCCTAATAAACTTATTGTCGACGATGCGACAAATGACGATAATTCGGTGATGACAGTCTCGCCTGCCACCATGGATCGATTACAACTCTTTCGTGGTGATACCGTATTGATCAAAGGCAAAAAGAGACGAGATACCGTGTTAATTGCACTAAGTGATGATGCTGTTGATGACACTAAAGTCAGGATTAACAAAGGTACGTTTTTCGATTGTCAACACACACGTATATGATATTTTGAAAGAGAAACTGTAAAAAGGAACAAATTGATGAATAAATTCTGTTGTATTTTTTCTTAGTTGTGCGAACCAATCTTCGTGTTCGCCTTGGTGACGTAGTTTCAATCCATTTATGTTCTGAAATCAAAAATGGCCATCGCATTCACGTTTTGCCAATTGATGACACAATTGAGGGTGTGACAGGCAATCTATTCGATGTATACCTAAAACCATACTTCTTGGAAGCATATCGACCAGTAAGGAAAGGTGATCTGTTTTTGGTTCGTGGTGGTATGAGAGCTGTGGAATTCAAAGTGGTAGAAACAGAGCCACCAGAATATTGTATTGTATGTATCATTAAATTTCATTTCAAGACATTATATCATAATTAGTTAATTAATTAATAATATATTAATTTTGAAAATTAGGTCTCACCTGAAACTGTAATACATTGTGAAGGTGAGGCAATTCGTCGTGAAGATGAAGAGGCGAACCTCAATGATGTTGGATACGATGATATTGGAGGTTGTCGGAAACAGATGGCACAAATCCGTGAACTTGTCGAACTTCCTCTACGACATCCCCAACTTTTTAAATCTATCGGTATAAAGCCACCGCGTGGTATTTTGATGTATGGACCACCGGGTACAGGTAAAACTTTGATGGCTCGTGCAGTCGCAAATGAGACTGGGGCCTTTTTCTTCTTAATAAATGGACCCGAGATTATGTCAAAGATGGCTGGCGAGTCGGAAAGCAATCTAAGAAAAGCTTTCGAGGAAGCTGAGAAAAATAGTCCTGCTATCATTTTCATTGATGAAATTGATGCTATAGCGCCTAAACGTGAAAAGGTTAGATTTCTTTTCACTTGGCTTCTTTCACAGAAAATATTTAGATATTAAAATTATTATATTTGGAAAATTTTAGACTAATGGGGAAGTGGAACGACGTGTAGTATCGCAACTTTTAACCTTAATGGACGGAATGAAAGCACGGTCCAATGTAGTTGTGATGGCAGCCACTAATCGCCCGAATAGTATCGACCCCGCCCTTCGACGTTTCGGACGGTTTGATCGTGAAATAGATATTGGTATTCCCGACCCGACAGGTCGGTTGGAAATTTTACGAATTCACACAAAAAATATGAAATTAGATGATGATGTTGATTTGGAACAGGTAAGAAAATCATCCCCATTTTAGTTAAATTTTTATAAGAAATATTTTTCATTTTGAATGAATGGTTTGGTTTATAGATTGCCTCGGAAACACATGGTTATGTTGGTTCTGATATAGCCTCGCTTTGTTCCGAGGCCGCCATGCAGCAGATCCGTGAAAAAATGGATCTTATCGATCTTGAAGATGAGACTATTGATGCTGAAGTATTAGATTCGTTAGCAGTGACTATGGAAAATTTCCGAGTGAGTTATTTATTTCATTTGTGCGCTGCCTATTCTGAAACCATACAAAATTTGGCGTTTACTTCATCTCATCTTCAATTAATTATGATAAATTAGTATGCATTGGGTATATCGAACCCGTCAGCATTGCGTGAAACTGTAGTTGAAGTACCCACAGTATCATGGAACGACGTCGGTGGTCTTGAAAAAGTCAAACAAGAATTACAAGAAACAGTTCAATACCCGGTCGAGCATCCCGAAAAATTCATCAAATTTGGTATGTCACCGTCAAAAGGTGTCTTGTTCTATGGACCACCGGGATGTGGTAAAACTTTACTGGCTAAAGCTATTGCAAACGAATGTCAGGCAAATTTCATCTCTATAAAGGTAAATAACCAATTTATGCTTATATACATAAAAAAATGAAATTTAATAAATGCTAACATTTTTCGTGACTGTTAAGGGTCCTGAGCTATTGACAATGTGGTTTGGTGAATCAGAAGCAAATGTTCGTGACGTTTTTGACAAAGCACGAGCAGCCGCGCCTTGTGTAATGTTCTTTGATGAGCTGGATTCAATCGCCAAATCTCGAGGTGGTTCAATGGGTGATGGTGGCGGTGCCGGTGACCGTGTTCTCAATCAAATTCTCACAGAAATGGACGGCATGAACGCAAAAAAGAACGTATTTGTAATCGGTGCCACTAATCGACCTGACCAAATAGACCCTGCATTACTTCGTCCTGGTCGTCTTGATCAATTAATCTATATCCCACTCCCTGACGAACCATCCCGTTTATCAATTCTAAAAGCCACTTTAAGAAAATCACCAGTCTCGGATGAAGTCGATCTAGATCATTTGGCAAAATCGACGCAAGGATTCTCCGGCGCTGATTTGACTGAAATTTGTCAACGTGCTTGTAAGTTGGCTATTCGAGAGAGTATCGAGAAGGAGCTTCAGCGTGAACGTGCGCGTAAGGAAAAACAAGAAGAGGCTGGTGATGAAGCTATTATGGACGAGGATGAAGAAGAAGACCTAGTCCCAAAAATTACAAGGTATTTTTTTTAGAGCATTGTTCGTTTATTCATTTTTATTCTTAAAATATAAATGCTATCTATTAAAATGATTTTTTTGCTTCTTCAATTCAATTAAACTATAGAATACACTTTGAAGAAGCTATGCGGTTCGCTCGTCGCTCTGTCACCGACAGCGATATTCGCAGATACGAAATGTTTGCTCAGAATCTTCAACAGTCTCGCGGATTCTCAAATTTCAAATTCCCCGAAGGCGGAGTCGGCGGATCTACATCAAATGACGGCGCAGCAGCCGGCGGCGGTGGAAATGCAATGGATACAGGCAGTAATAGTGGGTTTGGTCAAGATGCTGGTGACGATGATTTATACGCTTAATTATAACAATGTGTCATAGTAAAATGAATTAGTTGGTATTGCTATATTATTATGTGTTATTTGGACGCTGCTTTGTTCTTTCTGCTCTTCATCCTCTTTGATTCATCCGATTCGGTACGTAATTTCAAAGGGTATAATAGGATCGGAATATGCATCACCAAAAAAATAGAATTAATAGTAAAAGCCTAATAAAAAATTTATAATAAAACACATAAAAAATACAAATTTTCATGTTATTTAAAAGTTTATATTTTTTTAACAAAAATTTTTTATTTATAGTACAGTTTATTGTATTTTTAAAGCAATTAACAAAATTAATATAAAAAGTAAGTTTACCTTCGTTTGGAACAATACGATACAAACAGAATAAGAAATAGCAATATGATATATATTTAGAAACTATATCGAAATTCCACGTTTTTTTGTATTCATTCATTAAATTTCTGCCTTTCTAATTTAAGACATTCTTTAATTTCCTCATGCATTTTAGGACATTTTAAAGAGCTATAGTACTGAAGATGCAAATTGTTAGCGATAGGATTATTTGATATTGTAGGTACTCCATTCGGGGAGTGACATATATTACGTAATTATCAGGGGGGAGGGGGTCTCAAAAATCTCACCTTCCACGTGATCAAAAATAATTAGCCAATTAAAATATAATAAAAATCTCACCTTGGGGGGGGGGGGGGAAGGGGGGGTTATATCTATAGTAACTCGATATTATGTAATATATGTCACTCTCCTTATGGATGTTGTATATATTATGACTCGGATCGTTCACCGCAAATTTCTTGATTAGAGCTAAATTAGCTGGATTGGTAACGGTAAGCTCAAGATTAGCGATTTGAGTATTATCATGACTCACCGAATGGTCGTTTGCCTCTTGCAATCTCATGCCAAACCTATAAATATCTGCAGCTTTAGTGTATGACTTTCCATTTATCACCTCTGGACTAATATAAGGAAATACTCCGCCATAAGTTAATATATTTCTAAGGTGAAAGTTACGATGCACGAATGTCTTGTATGGCAAAACCACATAAATAACTTAACGTTAAATTTTCAATTTTTCGGAATTAATATATTTGCGAAGGTCGCCATCTTTTGCTGGGTTTTTAATAACTTATCACACTGTTGATAATGAAATCATTCATTTATAAACTCGTGTATTTTACTTTGAATTATGTAATGATTTCAACGCAACTTCTTTGTCTCTTTCAGATCGTTTAAATTTATTGCTCCATGATCCATTTATAAGGGTAAATTATTGGTCCGTCCAACCAGGTTGCTTTATAAATTGATACAAAATCTCCTTTGTGAGATATTAACATTGGTAATCTTTCAAGAGTTCCATTCAAAAAATTTATAATCTTTTGACAATCGGTACATTTACTATAATCATTAGTATTTGTGAACTGAATACTCATCACAGTAGTAATTACATTTTTGACAATTCGACATTTACTACAATCATAGAAGCCATCTTTGAATTTATTTTATTAGTGATTATGGCAGTGTTGTATTTCCAAGTTTTTTTAAATCGATTTATGCATGAAAAATGACAAAGGAACACGATGAAATATTCGTAAGCATTACTTTGACAAATTATCACGAGTTTTGGCAAATTATTTTTTACGAGAATAGAATATTACTTTAATAATATTGGTATAAATATGTATTAGGCCACACAATGTAAAATGAGCACTGTGGCTGACTGTGTTATCCTATTATATCTATTGCACACTGATTATATTTGATAATCAAATCATGTTATTTATATGATTGTCCAAAACCTCTTAGGTTATTGTTATTTGAATATTGCTATCGTTATGGAATTACTTCAAAGAAATAACTTCATTATTTCATAATAATATTTTTTGGAACTGTTGCGTTAATTATCTCCTGCGCACCCGCTGAAATAGTTTTTTTGTTTGCCTTATTTTAATTGTCAGAACAACATTGCTAAATATTAATACAGAGTATTCCATCAAAATTTTACGATAATAATAATCTTATGGATCAACAAAATTGTTAACAGAAAGTTAATTAAAATTATATTTCCGAAATTATTAAAAATTCTGTAGTAAAATATGAATATTACGTCATATATACTATTATAATATTCCATTCACTATTCACAACGGTGTCGGCGATGCTTGTCATCATCATCAGGAACAATGAAACTGAACTCATGTTTCTCGACAACTTCCTCCGAAGAGGAAGTCAGTTTATATAAGGGACCATAAGGAGTTTTTCCCTTACGCTTAACAATCAATCTCCATTTCTCGTAGGATGGGAGAATAGCAAATTCATATTCCCTAGTACGGCGACACGCTTCACCTTCCAAGTCATCCGAAAAAAGTTTATGGTCGCTATGGAAGATGTGATCGAAAATTTCGGCGATACTTTCCTTGTAATCGTCTGAATGATGTTTGGAATAGTGTTTTCCACCGAATTGTTCGGCAAAGAACGGTGAATTAAATTTGTTTGAATCGTCATTAGATCCTTCGTTTGCATCAAATTCTCCGCGGAATGGAATTACAATTGTATAATCTCGTTTGTCCTCTTCTCTATCGTGAGGTTCAACGATTATCTATAATTTAAAATTTATGTTATTGTGATCCAGCAAAAAAAGATTATAAAGTTTTTTGAATCAAGTTACCTCAAAAGTCTGACCATAGCTACGATCTTTAAGACGTTCGAGAGTGATCGTATATTTGCGTTTGGAAGGTAAAACAGCGATTTCAAGGATACGACGTTCACCCTTTTGAAGATGTTTTGTGTCAAAGAGATTCTTTTTGTTGTTATAGATTCCCTCGAAGACTTTTTCAAAGACTTCCCAGATTTGAGGCAAATCAATCGATTTCAAAATAGATTCGTCAGTGTTGGATGAAGGGGCCAGAAAGTTGAGTGGATCAATGTTTTTATGGTATTTTTCGGCAGTTGTCAAATTAAATAACATAACAAAGGCAAAGAGTGTCAACACAAATAATTTACATTGGGTCATGGTGAGAAAGATTGCACGTGATTTCTTGTTGGTAAAAGATTGATTTTTGGATAGTATATGTAATTTTTGTTTATTAAGTTTGTATTTTGATGTAAGAATTGTATAGAGGGCACGACCGTATTTATATAAGAGAGAATCGTCTTACTTACAATCAATCAATGATGGCGAACAAAATGTTTAATTCGATTTATAGTGATTTCCATGCAAATAATTGAACATGAATTATCAGAACATGTGATAGTGATGCTTTCAATAGTGAGATATTTATCGTTATTGATTATTAAAGATTTATGAGGACAAGATCTGTGTAAATTTACCCTAACGCTAACATGTAAAGCCAGGATTTCATAATCAAAAGTAAAGACATGCTTCGAGAAAAACAAAGGTTAGTTTCGGAAGTATACAAAAGATATTAGACATCAAAATTAGACAACACTTGTCTCGAAAATATTCTTATTCCTTATACTCAGAAAGAGAGAAAGAAAATCAATGAACACACTTTTCGAAATCCATTTTATTACAATTTCACAAACCCACAATTAATGATTCGGACTGAAGTACTTTTCAAAATCCTAAATCCTAATTTGGAAATTTTTTGCAGATCATTTGGTGCTAAATACTTTAAATAATAGCCCAAGATCAATGTAAATTTAATAATTCTACATGAATTATCATTCTTTAATATAAATAAAAAGAAAAAATAATATTAACAATCAATATCTCAAATCTGACAGATAATAAGTTGTGATAATAACAAATAAATCGATTAAAGATACGAGTCGTAGTTCGGTAACTATAGTTCGTGTATTAATTTAATGAACGACAGATGATTTGGGTAACGAAGTAACTAATGTTGCCTGCCTAAACTGCTGGAAGTAAACTAGTTCCTATATATTTTTGGAGTTTCGAAGAGCAATACTAGAGGTAACGGATGATTATATAAAGCTTTCAGTGAATATCCAACCTACAAAAAGCAAGGTAGTTTGAGATAAAAGAACCGGCAAGGCGAAGGTTATGGGTTTGTGAGTTCAAAGATGCTGACGAATTCGTTAAGAGATGAATGATAAATAAGATTTTAGCTACTTCATTTCATTATTAATGTTTTTTATGATTTTAAGCTAATGATTGTGGTTGTGATTTTTTGGAACATATGTTTTTTGTTAATGAACACACCAGAGTAAAATTATACTCGGTTTCTATAACGAAAGATACAGTTCCGGCGTGAAAGTAATGGTGGAAAATTTTTCGTCATATAAAAAAGGTTGGCACGAAAAAATTTGTTCATGTTCAGAGTTGTAATACACGATTTAACACTACGCAAAATTTTACCATGTATACTACTTAAGAATTTCATAACATCAAACCGCACTCAAGCGTATGCTGACATAGAAGGAAGGTATGTAATAAACTGATTATAATGCCTTACTCGGAGGCATTGCATAAGTAAAATTTTTGAACGTTATTATTGAAAAAGCCAACCGCCATTACTTTCCACCGGAACTGTATTTATGAATTGGGAGTTTGAAATTAAATCGATAGTTTATTGACTACTCTATAAATAATATTACGTATTTTTTTGACTGGAAAAGTTCAGATTGTTGAGTTAATAGGTCTTAAAAATTTGGCCAATTGTGGTAACTAAGTGACCTGCACTGTATAAACCGCCATGAAAACACTTTCTTCATTGCTAAACTCAATTGTAATTGCTAATTATAATTAAAAAGAAAAAACAGATAACACTAGTTTTATTAAGGAAACGTAATATTCGGATTCATAAATAGAATAGTTTTTTAGCTTTAGCTTTTTTATCAAAATGTATATTTTATCAGACATGCAAAAATCCAGATTCTTTAGCCGAGAACCGCGATAAATTTCGTCTTCGACAATAACATAACGGTAAAGAGGAATTAATGGTGTACCAAAATCCAAGCGTTGCCAAATCTCGATATTGATAACGCGACTTTTAAAAGTTTACACGCGATTCAAGTATCTTTGTTCTATATAGTAATATCTTTAGGTTAGAAAGATTAATCATGTTTGATTTTTTGTGTCGCTAAGTGTCCGAGTGCAAACAAAATTATGAAATGTCGTTGATACTTTATGTTGAGATGCCTAATTTCGAAATTTGGTTTGAATTTTGTAGTGTTTCGAACTTTTTATATTAACGATACCTTTCCTAAAATCATATTTACAATACACGTTAAGAACTTTGAAATCTTGACATTTAGTATCAAAGTTCCAAGTGCTTCGATATTGTATAAGTGAATATAAGCAATAAACTTTGTTTTTTGAAGATGCAATATCAATAATAGGCAGTGCTATTAAACGGGCTATTATTTCTTGCGTGATTCTCAGAAGAGGACCAAGCAATACCCGGAGAAATATTCCCTGAACGTCGTTTTCATCTCTATCCATCACAGCCTTACAATTCCGGCACGGATCCTCCGATTCTCTGAAAATTCCCATACCAACGGCAAGTTTTGGACGTATAGACATCAAATTCGCGAGTGAAGAGCGCAATTGCTTTTCTATGAATTTCACCTGCAGTCGTAGTATTTCACGTCGCATCCGAGAGACAGCCTTTTCGAGTCTCTTTCTTTGCTCGAGTTGTTCCCAAAATTATAACCATTTGATAGCCATCTAGTTTATATAGCGCATTTACCAAATATCGATATTATTTTCGCGTTTTCGTTGATATCTCGAGACTGAGCCATTGTTAAATAGATTTGGTCTGATGGTTTTTTTAACTATTCTTTTCCACTTGAAATATTAATGAAGTTGCACAATTTAACACAATGTTTAGCAAAGGAATTCGCGAGTTTCGAGTAATCCATAATTTGCAATTACAAATTATACCTTTCGATCTACTCATGTAAATTTTCTTTACGTCTAGAGACCCAAGAACATATTCTCGAGTGGGTTAACATTGTACGAGGATACCCACTCACCAGTTATTTGACATGTGATAAATGGAACTTTAATATTTTTTTAGCGAAATATTAGAATCAAATATACAAAGTTTCGTTCAAAGCAGAATACGAGTTAATTTATGAAAAATTTTCATCGTCCAACGACTATCAGGGTATCAGTATCTCAGATGGCTCTGGCACTGAAAAACGCGCCACGGATTTGAGGCGATAAATATGATTGGGGATTTCGATGAGATTCGTCGTGGTAACTTACAAGTCATTCATATTTGTTCAGATCGTTTCTTCCATTGTTAATTTTGATGAACGACCTGCACTCATCCATCTACAAGTCGTTATCCCTCACATTCCAGCACATGAAACAATTGTGAGTCAGTATTTGGCATTAGCAATTACGACTTAATTTTTTACAAAAACTACACTCCATGTTCTTTATTATTTCTTCCAAGAGTTAGCAGGAGATTCTGTCATGGGCTTGCACCTTCCATATTTAATAATCCTATCTGATACATATATGTCATTGTCTTCCAACCCTCTGAATCTGCTTTATAAGAGCAATTCGGCAATAGCAACTCGGTTTCCTTTTGGCATCAGTCTGCTTATAATCGATCATAAACTATTATAATCGGTAATAAAATAACCAATTTTTTAATAAATAGGTCTAAAAAATATACAAAATCATGGTGAATTTGAGAAGTAACAAAATTCATATGTAAAGCAAAGCCATACACAGGCTCTCTCAACTGTAAGACAATGACATACAGGATCTGTCAACGCCAATAGAGGATAAAAATTTGATTCGTCTCACCAATAATCCTAAAAATATACAAAAAGTACATGAATTGGGATGTTCTATGAGAAACAATAAAAGTCATATGGAGCAAAGTTGTAGCGCAGAGAACCAGTGTGTCGTAAAATTCAACTGCAAACAATAAGACATATGATCGCAACTATATGTTAGATTTCTTGCTTGTTCACCTTTTCTAAATATTATTCCATGTCATTACAAATGAAATAAAGTTCGCGCCCACGCCAAATTTAACGTTTTTACGTGATATCTCAAAAACCAGTTCAAATGAATTACCACCATTTGATTCGTCTTAAATGACATAGTTCTTAATGTTGTAGTTGTTGCTGTAGTAATCTCTCCAGCAAGTCTCACATTTGTAGTTGGGTTTGCAGTTGTCGCGGTCGTGGTTGTGGTCGTGGTTGTGGTTGTGGTCGTGGTCGTGATTGTGGTCGTGATCGTGATTGCGGTCGTGGTTGTGGTTGTGACCGCGGTTGTGGTTGTGGCTGTGGTCGTGACCACGGTTGCGCGGTTGCGGCTGTGGTTATGATGGTCATGGTTGCGGTTGTGGTGGGCAGTTACAGTGTAGTTGCGAATGCAATTTTAAGACAAATTTATTATTGTTGTTATTATTCATTTTTTATATGTGCTCCTTCAAAACAAAAAAAGGAAAAGGAAAAAAAATGAGGCAGGTTAATAAAAAAAATAATAAAACATGTGATCATGTTAGAGTGCATAGTGCATGGTGTCTTATCGTTATATCGATATGGATTTCCATAAAGATGACAAATTGCCATTTTTATTTTATTTCACACTGCCATTACTACATCAAACAATTGTATAAATCTAGTGTATATCGATATAGTGTATCGGTATATATAGATGATGCAGAGCTAAATCAAAATCTGCATGGTATCGTTGGATTTCAACTCCTGCTGTCTTATTGATGGATCAACTAGTCTTTCTTTTTCTACCGCGGGGTGTTTTCGTAGCATTCGTTCTCATCGAGTTTGTCGGTTCGTGTGTAACCAATGGACTTTTTGTTGAAATGGGATTGATTTTATTTATAAAATCTCGGGCTCCACACGAACACGTAATTTGACTTTGAAGATGAAAAAATTCTCTACGGGCTTTTTCCAAGTTTTGTCTGTATAGATCATTTAATATCTGAAGTTCTTCACATCGCGCTTCAAGATTTTCTAATGTGATGGTCTTTTTTTCACGTGACTTCTTAGCTAAAGTATCAATAAAAATTGAATCAATTATAAATTGAAAATAAAATAAAAAAACAAAAAATTTACCAGCTGCACGATTATTTTTCAATTGTCTTGCATGTTTACTTAATTTTTTTTCGCCATCTTCATCCTCGGAACCATCGTTTGAGTCGATCATATCAGAAGTTTTTCGTTTTTTCGGTCGTTCGCGTTCAAAGAATTTTCGTGGTTGTTGCTGCTGTTGCTGCTGTTGCTGTTGTTGAACATGATTTTCGGTTTTCATAATTATTGGTTGTACGGGGGTCGCGATTATTATTTCGCGCTGTTGATCGCACATTGCGAATATTTCTTCTTGATTTTTTTGTTGATCAGGCGCTGGAATTTTTCTTTCAACTGGTTGTAGTTGTTGATTTACAGGTACGCCAATTTCCTTTTCTCCCTGTTGAAATTGTCGTGACAAGGCCAATTCTTCCGATCTCTGGACCAATAAATTATTCGTGTTTGGAGCAACAAAGATGATGGCTTCTTGGATCTCAAATGATGCTGGTGGTACCGTAACGCAATATCCATTCACAGAAGAAGGAACGAAGCACTCGCGAGGGATCACCAGATCGGACGAGTTTTCCGAGAATAATATTCCACGTACACTCTCATCTCTTTGCCCAATCGGGATGGTGACTGATTGCAATAAGAAAAGGATTAGTATATAAGAATGACAATTGGGAACAGGTAAAAAAGGGAAACAGTGGAATATAAATAAGGGTGGACATAAATTATAACACAATAATTTTATTAGAAACAATCATAAGAATTGTTTTGGGAATTTGAATTTCAAATCGTCCATCTCAATTAGCTTAATTATATAACACGTACTGACATTATCAAAAAGTAATACTTACAACCTAGGAAGTTGTAGTTTTCGAATGTGTTCATGAAAGGCAACATATTGTTGCCTAAAGTTTCCACAAAACTCGTCTTGTTCAAGACGTCTTCAACCGTGCGCTCCATTTTACTTGTTGCCTTATAACGGACAATATATGGTAAAACAGAGAAAAATTTTTGTGTTTGTGCGTATGATCAATTTAGATTGCCTAATGACGAAAAATTGAAAATTTTCGCATTTCCTGTGAGATGTATGCTACACAGTTTTAACTAATATACACCGAAATTGCTTATCTCGCGACAATGAATAAACCCACGATCAATCTAAGAGAAACGCCGTGGGAAACATCTTATCAATATTTATCAACCAGACGAAAATTATAAACATTCGATATAATCAAGATTATATCCATGAAAATATATAACATATAATCTATCCTGTACGAAAAACTTTGATGTCTCGTTGTAGTTGGGCGAGAAGATATCGCGAGAAGATATCGTTCAGCAAAAAAGAGCCGAGCCTATCGAAGAATATGACAATCGTCCTCCTTCGCCCTTCCCTCAAGAGGACCGGGAAAATTAAGGGTCCTCGCCGCAGTAACCACCTGATCTCTTTAAACTATCATTAATTAATTTAATAAAAAATTATCTGCTGGTCGTGGGAACCATCTTATGATTGGCTAGTTATGAATATCTATTCCAAATATAGAAATTTTTTCATCAGCATTGCAGTAATTTTTGGATTTTTGTTACATGAATTATATGAATGCGAACCAAATTGGTTGGTAGCCTATCTATATATTTTTTTTCGGTCCTGTCACAAGGAGTGTGACTATAGAGGACATAATGTTTTGAATATCCAAGAGCTGTTAATTATATCGCGTATAATTATTACTCGATATAACGATATGGTCGGGGAACATTAGCAAAAAAATTCTGCAAATATCGCTATATCGAAAATTTATTATAAAAACTTGGTATTTCGAGGAAATTTTACTAGAAATATTTTTGGGTTGTCATCGCTATATCGAGTTTTAACTAGGCATTATTATAACGAGTATCATTATATCGAGTTTTGACTGTATCGGTATACTTAAAAATTATTTATATCCAATTGAACTAGTGATAATCTATTATAATGCCATAATTAGTCACAAGACCGCAGTCATCATCAGAACCTTGTTCTATGATTTGAACAAATGTAGTTGTTTGAATAATGATTATAATGATCTTAAAATATATTTTGTAGCTTGAATAATTTTAAAACAACCCAATTTTTTGGAGAATCATTAATTTCTTAAAATAGGATAAATACAAAACATCGATCGACCTAAATTAGAATAATTGATTCACTTTCACCATCTTACCTCTACTATACATAGCTTTATTTCATTTCCTCTCTGTCTGTTTTTCATTTGCTCATTGCCAGCTGCTGTTTTTTGAATCGTTGAGATCGGTTTGCTGGCAGGAGATGAGCGCGTTTTCTGTCTGGAATCTGACAATTTTTTATTGGGTTGCTATCTTAGCACCAGTAATTAGCTCTGCTTTTTCTCAGAAAATAAAAAAAAATAAAAAATCTCCCTTCATAAATAGCTTGTGGGCTTTTCTTGAGAGCAATGGTGAAAGAAACAAAAAAATGATTATGATTTTAGTTTTTTAATTATCAATTCTAGAAATAAATCATATAATCTCTTAAATATTTTGACTTTGTTATATTGTCAAAGAAAACAAGTAGACCTTCATAAAGAACCATTTATAAAGGAACAATCTTTATATAAGAACATAATTTTTTAGAACCAAGAACTTAGTATTTATATTAAAAGTTATCTCTATATAAGAATAGCTTCTATGATGGAACACAATCTGGTTGGGACCTGACTATACATTAAAAGATTAATATATCTTAAATGTGAAAATTATCATTGGAAATGTGTGTTCAAATTCAGTTTAGAATTCGTTTTGTAATTCCAAACCCGAAGAAATTAATATGATAATTTCTGATACACTCAAATAAGGGCACTAGTATAAAGAAAAACCAACTCAAGAAGCAGACAAATTTCTTTTGTATCCTATTTCTCATAGTAAATGTACAAATGTTTCGTGATGCAATACGAACGATTACAAAAAGTAAGTTACTCTTATTGTATAATCACTAGAATGGATTATTTAATACTACTCACATCAAAGAATAACTATGATATGACTTGCTGACTGTATATCTATTGTTCGTAATGTTTTTTTGATTCCATTGTTATAACCTTTCATCATCGAAAAATTGACTACACTACATAGTTAATGTCTTTTACGGATTGGAAATTCGGAACGTAACTTCAGAATTAAAAGTCAGTTACAACTTTACATTGAAAAATCTCTATTCGGCCTGAATTTTCCGGCCGTTATTAAGAGAGTAAGGTCCTTGGTAAAAAAGAATGGTAGAGTCAAACAGAATTTCACTAGTTGGTCCGAAAGAGTTAATGTGAGGAAATCTGTTGTTAGCGTACAGGGGAAAGCCATGTTGTCATTTTGATTATTTTTAATTGCACGCTAGTCTTATTGATTTCATTTCTTGTCTGTCGAAAGATGTTGCTCTCCGAGTTTCTAGGTTGATGATATTAAATTAATAATACATTTTTAACAACTTTTAAATGAATTTTATAGTGCCAGTTCCAAGAGTATGCTTTAAGAGAGGTATAACTTTATTACAATAATTATTTGTTATATAGTTATTCTTCTCTTAAAGCATAAAAGTTTATAAAAATGTATTAACGTTAATTTTAACGAGCTCTATTTGGTGAGCAAATGATTATCTTGAATCCAGTTTTAATCGAAATTCCATTCTTAGTTCAAAAGAATATATATAACCACAAGCTTGCCCAGCATTTGATTTTGACTTTACTCGCAGTGTCTAAAATTGGCTTGCGGACCGCAATTGGTTTTAAATTTCCGCAACCAAAATCTATATTCATATGCGGATTTCGCAAATATATTTTCCGCTTGTAAAATTTTGATATTCAATTTACTTGCGGGTATTACTCTAAAACTTTACAGTTATAATAAATAAAAAAACCATCTCGTGATTGAATACAAAAAAGGACTTTAACCGGCGTTATGACTATATAAATCATCATTATTATTATTTATTTCGTCATTATTTTAAAATTTGAATTTTAGACACAATCAAACGTTTGTAATTACACTCTTTTGTCGCGACCAGTATACATTATACCTCAAGACTTAAAGGGTATATATATAGTTTTTTAATTGAAAGGACAGGCACCAACTCATTATGAGACTTTACTGTCTTTCATTTTGTTCGACTTTATTGTCTTTTGTTATTTCCCCAATTTTTATTCCTATTAGTTGCAAAGACGTCAGCGGGCATTCAGAGATTGGTGGAATATCTTTATTTTTTGTTTTCTTTATATATGATAATTATGGCATAATTCTTTTTTGTTGAAAGACCAATAAGTCTGCAGAAAAACACCCCAGATTGGAGCAGCTCAGGCAGATCTGTAGACAGCTTTGACTCAAGAAGACAGGTTGGATAGATGAATTTTTGCAGCTCCATTGGCTCGGTAATGACTTGGAATAGGGCAAGTGTATGGCTGCGTTAGTTATGGAAAGGGTTTCGCAACTGTCGGGAAGACTTTGTGACAGGTAAGAAAAGTGCATTTTGCGGCGGCATTTGCTTGATTAGACAGGGTGTGGAATAGATATAACTATTTAGAGGTGCTCTTTTTAGGTATAAGTGAAAAATTTGAAAGCAAGCAACACGCAGACATTATACAGTGATCGTCGATATAGCGGACACTAATTAAACCGATTTCTGAAATTCTTTCACTAATTAACCAAACCCGTCCGCTATATCAATATACCAAATTGGAAAAAAATCGTTAAAAATCATTTCGTAGCACATTCTTTCATAGCATTATGATATATTTATTGAAATCACAAGAAAAAAGGAAGATATTTTAAATCACAATTTATTAGTGTTAGTACTGTTAACGGGATGTCAATGTTTGGGCAGAATTTAGAAACACTAGCGGAATTGTTGAATTATGTCGGGATTAATATATTAGTGTATCACGTTAACGGATGATCGTTCGATACACAAGCGCTAAAAAATTTCATTTGTAGTTTAATATATCGATATCTTTATAGTTATAATTTGGAAAAGAAAATGAGACGGATTGGCCCGATCGTTTTAGAAAATGATTCATTACACCAAACAAATTTGGAAATATCCCAGACTGAACTAAAGTTTTGCATTCAAGATGATCAAATAACGGTAACAGCAAGAAAAGATTGAGTTTGGCAATCTCATATCATTATGTATGACTGTTTCTTGAAGAAAAAACAAAATTACCCTAATTTGAAGAACGAAACGAAATACTATCAGTGTTACGTTAAACGCGAATAACGATTTTGCAGCAAAATCGCGTGACGTATCAATTCCTGTAATGTATCACATTGTTCATTTTCTATATTTTTACATTTTACTTTTCTTTGACAAATTATGGCCGTTAGATTTGATAGGCTTGTATTTTGCGAGTATAAAAGCATTAAAGATCTTGCCACAGAGTGTAATATATCTGTAATTCACACCGAGCAGTTTCTTGAAGGCTACCAAATTTATATTGTAGAGCAATGGTATGATTTGGGTGGTTGTGGTTGTGTTTGTTCGCATCTTGATTTCCTCATTTTGTCGTTAACTTGTAATTTTCTTTTACTTAGGGTTTCAGATAGAAAAAAGCCATATAACACTGTGACTATATTTACTGGGGATGTTGAGCACACGGCAAGTTAACTTTACTTTAGCCTTCTTTTTCGGGTCCATCGGGTCGTATATATTAATTTTCTTTTTTTTCTAATTAATATAGGCTAAGGTTTATATCATAAACCTTGAAAAGGAGAAATTGCAGCCATACCCCAAAAAATTACAACAACTATTTGATAGTTTAGAGCAGGACAACACCAGACCTAAAGACGTAGGTTTAATATTTTTATCAATTTATTTTGTTCTCTGTAGTTTTTATTATAGCTAACAAAAAAATAGACTGCGCTTGGTACAATCATGGTCACAAATCTTAGCACATTGCCATCGTCACTTAATATGGTGCTTGTACCTGATGGAGATTATGAATCGAATATTAACCATTTTTATATAAATCTTAATCTGAGAAAAGTGGGCTGTAGTCATAGGAGGGCACTCAGTTTAGAACCGTCATCGTATGTACTATTAATTCTACTATCTTGATCGATTTTAGCTGCTCAATTAAATTTATTTGTTTTGGTTATTTATTAGTGAGGCACAACAAGAAAAATTCATTCAGATTTATAATATTTCAACTCATATTGGGTTCGAATACGCAGTTTTTGAATTGATCAAATTGGTTCAAACGGCTTTATATCTGTTTGGCCTTTTCCCATCTTACTATATTGATGGTCTCTTATGCGACACTACCCTAGATGCTCTGCTAACCTTTCACAGTAAATTCGCTTCCTCGGATATTGAGGTATTTAATTTTTTTCCGGATGCTGTAAATATGGGTTAAACTATGAGTGGACGAAGCAATAAGCAGTTTAAATTTTTTATTTAGTTACGGAAAAATTCACTAGATAATAATAATTTTCTTGATCGGAGTCTGGTCGCGGTACTTTTGAGCAAGGTGATGAGCATACGTAATAAACTAAGTTCCCTAGGTTATCAGGTAGTTTCTAAGGAAAAGTTATTGATTTCATATTAAATGCCAAGAATTTATTCGGAAATGGTATATATATATAAAAATATATAATAGCGTATTCTCGTGATTTTATAAGGTCGGAAAAGACCCTTTTACGGATCCAGAAGTTTTTCTGAGTGGCGTTGCTTCCTTTCAGGTTTTATATTTTCTATTATTGAAATTTCGTATTGGGGTTTTCTCGAATTAATGTTCACTTAAAAACATTTTTTGGTTAACAGAAAAGTGCAAAAATAAACGCGACTCGATTTATAGACCAGTACACGGTTGAAAAGATTAATCAATATAAGGTATTCTTCATTTGAAAAGGACATCACTTTATCTGTGCATACATTGTTTCTTATTTTCTTTGTTTGTTTAGGTATTTAAGAAATCTAAAATGGAAGACTTATCGAATAAAGTTCTTAAAGCAAAAACTGAGGATATTGCTACATGTGGTTCGGGTAAGCTAAATCAAATGGAAAATTCGAACTCTAATATGTTAAACCTATCTGTCAAATCTATTATTACTAATAATCATCATCATGATCAATCAAGCCATGAACGATGTTGTCACGGACCTTGATTACTTTACTAAAAATGTGCCCTCAGGCCGACTTAAATATCTATGGAAAGGTAAAGGAAAACATAATCAAAACGAAGTTGAAACGGATTGGCTTTTTGGTGGAAGAGAATTTGGAAAAAGTTTCTTGCGTAATGTTACTTATAAAACGGTAAGTCAATGAAAGCTATGTTTTGCATGAACAATAAAAACTCATGATTGTTTATTTCGAGCAGGCAAAAACAGGAGAGGTGTTCCGTGGTTTCAAGGAAGGAGTTACTGGGTGAATATTTAATTCGTTATAGTTTACTCATTTTTATAATATTTTTTGAGTTAACTTTGAAATTTTACTTTTATAAAATCTTTTTCAAGCCTGGCACATAGAAAACTAACTAAAGACATGTTCAGGTAAAGATGATGATGATCGAAATTTAAATTTGAATATATTGATTATTTCTTCATCTAGTTAATTAACTTCTTTATTACAGAGAATTGGAATTTCCAGGACAATCGTTAATATTTCGTAACATAGGTTTTCGCGACAATGACATTTCTTGTAACATGGGATTCCCTCCACTCGATTTCGGTAATGCACTCGTTCAATTAATTTTTTTTTGTGCTACGCATCCTAAAATCACTTATCCCCCTTTTCTTGACAGAATCTGCAGTTCATACATCTGCTCAATTTGCCAGTTCATCATCTTCTCTATATAATAAACTGTATGAAACAGAAATATCTCAAAATGATCAACGGCTTCGACGATCTCGCTCTTTCAGCTCTTTTGAAACCTTCGAAGCGACACGATTGTATCCTGATAAGGTTGCTGCTTTACCAAAGAGGTCAAATTCGCTGCCTTCTATTGATATATACTATCCGGAAATAATTCCAAGGTGATTGATTGGTTTTTACTTGATGAGTGTATTCAAAATTTATTAATTTTTTTAACATTACAGGGTTCCTTTAAAAATTGACATGCAAACAAATTTATTATACGACACTCTGAAACAGCGGAAAGCCTCCCTTTCAGAATTAACACAGAAGCTAGAGGTATTAACCTTTTCCGATTTGCTGGCAAAATAAAATAAAGAATTTCCTTAACTTTTGCTCTATATAAAAGGACACGTCCAACAAGTATGCAGAACAAATTGAACAGTTCTCCCAAGCATATCAAAAACGGGATTCCGAATATAAGGTTGGAAACTTTTAGATTATTTCGTCACTATATTCTGACTCATTTCTTTTTTTAGACCGCACAAAACAATGCATTAGAGGTGTTTTCGAAACAACAGTCAGTCGGCAAAATGATAAAGCAGATCGAAAACAATAGTGCAAAGCTGAATTATGAATTGGCTGTGTTGGAGGATAAACTTCAGGAAATAGAAGAATTTGTTGATACTTTTTGCTTGAAGGTAAATTGCAATGTAATTTCGATTTGCCACATTAATCTTACCGTTAACGCTCAAATTCGTTTTTTTTTCCGTTTAGGTTCAATTTCTAGAATTGCAAATGCCTCAACCTTCACGCTTTGTTCAAATCGTGTCGCAATTTTGTGATTATTTCCAAACTCGGTGGAATAATATCCTAGCACCAAGTCTCACTAATTCTATTGACGATGATGGTTAAAAGTTTTCAATATTTTTTATTGGAAAATATATAAGGTGAGAGAGAATTCTAGAGATTCCATAAATTGTAAATGTATTATTAAATGTACTATTATAATTATGATTGTTATGATTGTTGTTATGATTATTATATTTTTTACTTAATCGCCTTAAAGATTATTGATTATTGATTAGAGATTAGAATTACTTTTAGATATTTGTATTTTTACAGATAAATAAATCATTAAGCCTCTTGAATGTAAACATGTCAAACTTTCAAAACTCACCAATTATTCAGTGAATCACTTGCAAAATTGGAAGGTATATAGGGATCATTTTTTTTAAGCCATTATCTTTGGGAAAACTTCGCGATAATCAGACAAACATTTGTTGACCATTTACAATTCATATATCTATCGATAATGTAAATATTTCAGGGAAATGTTATCATGTTTAGCCAACGACGTTTTTCATCAACTGCGCATATTCGGATTAACATTCGGAAACTGCAACTATCCGCAGCATGTGACCCGTGATAAGTTTTTTTCCTGTGCACCCGTTGCCTAAATAATTAATGCCATTTGAGTTCTTTTATAAAAATAAAAAGGCATGGGTAAATCTACAAGAGGCAAAGGCTTCTTTTATTCCCGTCCTCGGCGTCTTCTTAATCAAAACTCTGGATTGTACCCGGTGAACAAATTTAATACCACATTTCCCCTACAAAAAATGTCGTCTTCATCAATAGATAACTCGTTGAGACAAATTGGAGGTATTCCGTTGTTTTCTATGTTGCCAGATGCGGGGCTGTCTAATGCCAACAACGGTACTACTACTACCCCCATCAATAATACCTCGAGAATAATTAATAACCACCAAAATAATGAAATTCCACAAGCAGTCAACGAGAATAAACCTGCATCGGTATCATTTATGCCTCAACCATTTGAAACGAATCGAGATATTAATCCCATTTCGATTCTTAATACACTACAACATAAATTGAAATCAAACACTTCGCCACAATACGATTTCACCATGGCCACACCAAACGGAGGATTCTATGCTACTCTCGAGGTCTTTGGGAGAACTTTTCAGACTCAAATTATACGAATAAAGAAGCAAGAAGCTAAAGAAGAAGTTGCTGCTCTTGCTGTCGACCATATGAATGCACTAGTACCTGGATTAGTCGAGGAAGTTCGAAGAGAGCTGGATAAAGCCGCCAAAGCAAACGCAAAACGAAATCAATCAAATGTGAACCGAGCAGTTCGCCGTAAATGGAAAGGATTTAGTAAAGATGACGGTATTCCTAAATCTTTGATTTGGTTAAATAAACATCGTGAACCAGGACAACCCCTTAAACGTCCTTCTGTTTTGCTTCTCGAATTTTGTCAATTTCATCATATCGAGCGTCCTGTTTACACTCAAGAAACTGACGCCTCAAATCGATTTATGTTCTCCGTCAAAATAGGAGAGCGTAATTTCCGTCCAACTCTGGCATTCTGGAATAAGAATGATGCAAAAGATCATGTCGCTCAAATTGCTTTTGATCAAATTTACAGAGAACAATTGGAAATTGAACACAAGAATATTGGAAATGATTCATTACAAAGTCAAGAAGTTTTATATCAACCACTCCCAATTCGACAAAATGAGGGAGTCCCCATTCAATATCCTTCGTATCCTGTCGCTGTTGACACAAGGGAAACTACCTCACCAATTCCAGACGATATTGATACAACACAAGTCAAAACAGAATCTAACCAGACACCTTCAACAATGCCATCATCTTCAACTTCAACATCTCTAAATTCTATGTATGAATCGGCCATAGATCAAAGTCCGGCAAACGATGGTTCGCATTCTAGCGGCGAAAAATCAGGTGGACATGAAGTTCTATTTCATGTTCCGACCGTAATCGCAAATCAACTCGGACCACCGCCGAAAAGCGAAATTATGGAGAAACTTACCAATAATCAAACGAATTTCTCTTATCAGCCCAATCCTGGATATATGCCAGTGGTGGCAGCGTTACCTCCACCACCGACAAACAACAACTTTTTTAACCCATACACTCACTTTCACCATCCATACATCAATCCCACAGCTTACAGTGTTGTTCCTGTGAATTCGCCTCCTGTCCAAACCGACTATAAAAGATACGTGAGCAGACTCTACGAGCTCGCTCAGTCTAAGAAGTGGGATCCCCCGGTGTACAGTTATACAAACGTATACGGTGGATTCATTGGTGAAGTGATGATATGTAAAAGAACCTTCCGAGGTACCAAAGCATGTGCACGAAAAGCAGATGCTAAAGAGGATGTATCTGAGCACGCATGGAAATATTATGCAGACAATCCCCACGCATCATAAATAAATATTAATGGGATTGATATGAGCTATTGTGATCGGGAAGAATTGTCTGACGATTGCAAATAATCTTCAATTGTCTATTTGTATTATGGTAAAAGAGAATTAAGGGGGGAAATTTGACTAAATCACCAAATTATCCCCCTTTTTTCTTTAAGAAATATTCTCTCGACTACAACAAAAACATATTTAGATTTTATTCATTCTTTTTATTGCAAGAGCTCATATCCACATTCCCTTTTATCTTTTCCCTCTAGAACTATTTGAAAAGCGGTGCTCTATGTTAAAAATTATTTACATCATATCGCCGCTTTTCTACTTTTAGATGATGGATAAATTTTTAGTTTGTATTTTTTTTCAATTATTATTCATATTTCTTTTTATATTAAGAGACGAACTGGGGTTGTTTGCATTATATTATCATATAACAATAACCTCGTCATCTTCATAAAATAAAAAGCTTCCCCAGTAAGTTTTTGCTTTCAAGTAATCAATCAAGGCAGTAGCGTGACCTTCTATATCGTGAAGGACACTGTTGCTTGCCCTGGTAATCACGTCCTCTTACGTTGCTCTCTTATTCGTTGGAAGAAACGATGGTGGGGAACGCTTGATTACATGCAACCTATATCATGGCAGGTTTCTTGTTATTGCCATACTCAGATATCTGCCTTGATTTCGGTCTATCGAATCCTTGTTATTTTTCTCTACTAATCGCTAATCACATCTTTGCGTGTTTGTTTGGTTTGTTTCTTTGTACTGGGTTTCATAAATCCGATACTTGCATTTCTTTACGCGGGATTTTTGAAATCATAATTGTATTTGTTCTCGAAAAATTTGACTGTTGGATGATTGCCCTACTTTTTTGAAATCAAGGTTTTTAATTTTTTAGGTTTCTATCGTGGAATAAAAGTGGAGAGAAAAGCCGACATGTTAGTCAAGAATTCTTATTACTTTGAGAATTCAATTCTTCATAAAATTTTTTAAGCTAAAAACAAAAAAGATTAGCACTGGATTATGAATTCACACGAGGAAACACGCTTGAAGTATCAGTTCAGACAGGTTAATTTTGCTATATATTAAAATTATGGGTGAACAAAAAAGGGAATATTGAATTCTCGTAATAATATTTATCTGATATAAGAAAATCCATAAATCAAAGACTTATTCTAAAAAAGGAACTTTAAATAAAAAATAAAGAAAATCTTGCAGACAAACTTAAATTGCAATATTACATCTAATTTTTATCAGACAACGAACGGTAAAATGCATTGTGAGAATTTTCAAGATCAAACAAGAGCTGGCGAACTTGCTCATCGTTGAGTTCGTCGCTCGCCTTCATCGAATTCAAAGTGATCAACCAATTCCTAAGCTTTGCTTTTCCTTCGAAATCTGCAGGTAACGAACTCACTTTGTTCAAACTTTGCATTAACTCGCTAAGCATCGGATGAATATCGTCCACCGCTTTATATTTTAATTTGAGAGCATCCATCGAAGTTATGAAATGCTATAGTAAAAATAAAAATAATAAAATAAAATTATTAACGAAATAAAAAACGATCAGAGAGACATGTACATAAAAGCACACAATAAAAAATTGCAATATTTTGAACCTGCACAGTTTCGGCAACATATTTTGCTGATTTGCTGGAATCGTGATCTGTTGGACCTGAATGTTCAATAGTGGCGGGTACACCAATTTTGATACGATTGAACGCAGCCGGACATTCAAGCTATAATAAGATGACCAGACGATGTAAAGAAAAAAAAATAAAGCAAGCAAACGTGAAGGCTCCCTCCTTACCTTATAATCATTCATAAATTTTTCTACGTCGGGCACAGAATCACTCACCAAGTTCAACGCTGTCTTATACTGTGCTATCAACTTTGCGCAAGCAGGCGTATATCTGAAACCCAACAATAATTAAAAACTCTTCCCTAAACATCTTAAGTAAAAAAGTACGACTGCTTACTCTGCTGCCGTAATAGAATCCCTAATGTATGCTTTCTCCAAGTGTTCCATGGTGACTATAATAGCGTACAAATCAGCAAGATTTTCATACTTTTCTCGGTCCTTGTTGTTTGTATAAAGTCTAACCTCCTATTTAAAGTGTATTATCACATGAATAAATTAATCAAGAATTAACGAGATAACACGAAATATTTATTTTTAAAAAAAAATACCTCGTCAAACGACGCATCTAATTATGAAAGAAAGAAATCGAATATGAAATTGAGGCCTTTCATTCAAAGTGAAATAAAAACGTGTTGAGTAAGCTTAAGCTAGGCTTACTATGCTCCGTAGGCATTTCATTTCCCGGAGGCGTCGATCCATAGTTTAAGTAACTAAAGCTAGCTGGTGTTTGCATTTTTATTAGAATTAGTGTTTACTTTGTAGCTCTTGGGCGAGCAAAGATTATCATTAATTTAAAGTCTTGCATTTTTCATTGGTCAATTAATAAACGGAATTTTACTTATTGTTATGTAGCATAGAATTACAATTATCCAAGAAAGTTAAAAAAAGATTCTATGATATTATGAGGAGTAACTATCTTCCAAAGTGTAAGGGTATTCCTCTGGTGATTAAGGAATATTTTAATGGTGAAAAAGAATACTCAGTGTTAACACTTCATTCGAACTCTAGTCCCGAGCATCAAATTTACAACTATGTGATACAGTGTGATAAAGACCACCTAGCAAGAATTATGTTTGCTCAGGATCTATCGCTATAGAAAGAAATATGTGGTACCGTAATTTGCCGCATAAACCACCCCTCTCTGTAATCAAAATTTTAAGAAATTGCACTGTGAATCTTGGTTTCTTCATTTGGTGGAAAAATAATTGGTTTTATTGGACCAAATTAAGGTTTAAATTTTCTATAGAGGGGGGTGGTTTATACGGCAAATTACGGTAACAATCATCGCCGATATTGATATGCAGAATCTCTCACGTTACACGTCCCTTTTAAAATTGCATAGCATTTTTTTTTTGATATTAGATTATAAAAAATATAAAAGAAAAAATAGAAGCTAATAAAAATACAAAATAATTTCTAGATTTAAATTTTTCTATGGCACTTAAGCTTTCAGATTTCTTTTCAGAGAAGAACGTTCATATATTACATTTTGTAATACATGGCCCGATGTGCTTTCAATTCTCCTAGTGGCAGCGTAACTTCAGATACATAACGATAATAATTCAACAAATACTTAGTAAATTGTATACTTACGGAACTCTAAAAATTGTTATTCCCATTCTTCTAAATTAATTGTATAATTAATTAATGTTGATTATTAAAAATAAAGAAAAAAATTATCATTTTTTATTATTATGTATGTCATATGTTTTTTTAATGTGATATATCATGATTGTAGTATGATCAGGGCAATTCCATTCTTCTAAATTAATTGTATAATTAATTAATGTTGATTATTAATAAAAATAAAGAAAAAATTTATCATTTTTTATTATGTATGTCATTTTTTTATCGCGTAATTGTTAACTCCGATGTGAAATTTAATTTTTCCTTTCCATTTTCTTGCAATAAATTAAATTTTTCTTTTCCTTTTTCTTGCGTTATTTCCATCCTGAGCATGTCTATAATAAAGTATGTGAGAAGATAGTAAAGGAAAAGATTTTATTAGTAAAGAAAATTGGTTGTATAAATTTCAGACGTCATATAACGATAAAGGATTACTGTAGATCACATAATTCTGTTCTCGTGACTTCTTGTGGCAGACCGGGATTAATTTAATATGAATGAAACTATTGGACTCTATATATAAATAACATTTCAGAACTGAAACAAATTCGATATTAAAAATCAAGTGTTTAGAGAATTTTTCGGGATCGATTGATCCATAAGAAACGAGGGAAAGACGACAGGATGCATATTATAAATTTTGAATTAGTAGAATTATTAATGTCTTGTAATGGACAGATATTCCCGATACATTATTTTTTAATTTTGATTGATATATATGATACCGACAAGGAGCGAGGGAATGGAAAGATTGAAAGAATGGGAAATGCACCAATTGAAATAACGATACCGCGATGCAAGAATCATGTATTCATACAGTTATACATCAGATCATCTCGTGCGAGGAACTAATAATCAATCAGAAAACGGGTCTTTGATTTCAAAGAATTAAAATGAACCAATCCCATCTTCCACTAATCATTAATTTGCTGTTCTTTATCAGTAATTTAACATACCCTCAATCAACAATTATAACTTTCGCGCCCAAAATTACTCGAGAAAACCATGCAATAAAAATACATCATCGTCGAAGCAGTATTATCCCATCCAATGCCCATATTGTGAAACAATACAGAGTTAAATATAGAACGATAATTGTCGTACGAAAGATAATTCGCGTGGTAAATCCATTTACTTTCTACATTTTTACATTTCTGCATACGTGTTACGCTATTTTCAATTTTTAGAAAAACTAGAAACGTGGTATGCGTTTTTGTTTCAAAAAAATAAATATACTTTCATTAATATACACATTCTTTCCTCTTACTACTTCTTGCCCGTTCCTTACTCCTTTCTTTTTTCCTTTCCATAATATTTTTCATCAACTTACTCGCATTCCCTTCCCCCATCATCTCCCATCTCATCGTCTTATTAACAACAACAACAAAAACCTATCTTTAAGAAAACATCAGGCAATCCACAATATATAATAGATAGACTTCGTGTTGACTCTTTTTGATAGAGACAAAAAAAAACAATTCAGGGATTCACTGGAGACTAAAAACGAATATATACATACCTTCGCGAGCGAGGAATTCACAAATATATTTTCTTTCGAGAAACGTAATTTGTTGTATAAAATCAACTTTAAAGGACATTATTGTTTATATAGTAGCGTTTTGAAATAAAAATGTCATTTGGAGACTTTAATAGAATCTGTGAAACGGTTGCGTTAACTGTATGTCCACTAGTAGGTGCTCCACAAGGCATAGAACCAACATGTTATTCGAGAAATATTGAGGTTGCTGGCACTTTGATTTTTCAACCTGGTAAATATAATAAGCATTCGGAAACGAAACTAGATCCATTTAATAGCTGATATTTTTCGAACTTTTTTTAATAATAGCCACGATCATTATTCATGTTATTGCCCTGATCATGACTACAATCATGATATATCACATTAAATCAAAATACACGGCTGTGGGTCAGTATCATCTATTCAATAATAGTCAATTAAAACGCATAATTTTAATGCACTAATGCTAATTGATTCCCTTGATTTTTTTCCGGACATATTCTTTATAGGGCGGAAAGAAATTGTGATGTTCTTTTATATGTATATGCTACTCACATTTTTAGAAGTATTATTAGTGTCTGGTATTATCCCGACAGCATCGACGTTGTACCCTGTAAGTGTTCTGAATTGAAAAATTAAATTATGTACGATATTGAGTAATAAATTAATCAAATTCATCCGTATATTCGATATAGTATTTCACAGCTGCACACATCGGTCTTATCACCGCTACCTTCTGGTGTTTATTGCTTAATGGTTTTGTTGGTTTTCAATTGACAGAAGATGGTACTCCAACATCGTTATGGGTGAGTATTCATTAAATTATTTTTCTCAATCTAAAAAAAATGACTAACGAAAAAAAATTGAAAATTTTCAAGACTATTCGTCTTTCCTCTCTTTTCATCTTTGCTGCTGTATTCTTCCTCGCAACAGCCACATTCAAAGGCATGGCCTCATTCAATCCTCTTCGCCCGGTAGCCCTCTGGATCGTACTATACGTATTCAACGGAGCCGCACTCGCAATTTACATCTCATGCCAAGTTTTGCTTATAGTAAATACGCTCGATGATCGTTGGCCACTTGGTGACATTATCTTCGGGATGAGTTTCTACACGGTCGGACAACTTATTTTATACAAGTTCTCGGTGCAAATCTGTGACAAGGCCAAACACTATATCGACGGACTTTTCTTTGGCACTATTTGCACCTTGTTGGCCGTGATGATGGTGTACAAGTATTGGGACTCGATCACGAAAGAGGATCTCGAGTTCTCGGTTGGCAGTAAGCAAAATATTTGGGAAGTTAGAGAGTTGTTGGGTGAAGATGATGGATATAAACAACAACAACAACAACAGCAGCAGCAGCAGCAACATAATAATTATAGTGGTTATTAGAAGATAGTGCAAGAACAATCGATTACATATTTATTCATCTGCACACTCTTAAGCGTGTACAAACACAATTTAGTTGGCAAAATTTCCTTTATTAATAATCCATCATCTATTTCACCATCCTCCGTATCATACGAAAAATAAAGCATAGGTGGCCACGAAAGATTTTTCGATTTCATAAACAATTGATCTATAATATCTATACTTTATATAAATGGATAATGGGGAAAAAGAATATTTGATTTAAAAAATGGCTAAATCTTCATAACAATTTGTATTTATATAGATAAACATAACCATCGTCGATTTGTTTTTCGACTAAATAATATAATAACATTAATAATATTTACCAATAGCTAAGTTTTTGTTAACTTAAAAATTAACATATACATATACATATACATTTGTTATAAAAATTCACATTAAACAATCTTTGATTGAAATATTTCTAGCATTCAATGTGCGAGTTTATGATTGTGTCAGGCGCATTAAGTATAAATTTTAAACGATGCGTGACTTGTGTGATAATATCATTACAAAAATGTTATACATAATACAAATATATACATATATTTATAGGGTATCAAATCTCGAAAATGTCGATGCTTAAATTTTTAGATGTATGAGACTCACTCTAATTGATCGATTGATTTGAATCCAGTCAAACAAATCCTTGATTTATGCTATCATGTCATGATGCATATATCGTAGTCTTTTGCCTCAATATGTGAGATCATGATCTTCATGGTGATCATGATGAGGCTGTTGTTATTGTAGTTGGAGTGTGTCTATATGATTCTGTGTGTGTAAATTCTATATACAACTATAAATTAATTTTTCATACTGGCAGCGTGTCAAGTCATCAAAACTCTTCCTCTTCCACCGCCGTTATGATACCATAACTTTCAATATCTGCCCAGAAAATAATATTGAGTATACCGTCACATGATAGCGCAGCTTTGCTTTCTAGCTGCGCAATTTTTAAGATGTTCACCCATATATCTTCGCTTAACTTCACGACGGCATCCTTTGCTTGGACATGGAATGGTAGCATCTGGACACTATAAGTAAAATTCAATTCAATTCAATTCGGTTCATTATAGTACCCAAAAATCATCGATTTAATATAGAAAATACATTGGATGTAAATAAGAAAAGGTACCATAGTCTCATGCCACCCTTGATCCATACACGATCCAACCCAATCACACTCTTTATTCGCACATCGCACGTTCAAACTCCCGATCAGGCGCTTGACAAACTTTGACACTCGTAGACTCGATGTGTTTACGCGTTCGCGGCAAGTTGGACACGAGATTGTGCCGCTAGGGGATGATAGTCGACCGTGCGAGCTTTTAATTAACTCGTTAATGCAACTTCTGCAAAATGCGTGTTCTTTATAGGATCATTTGAAGTGAATATGACAGAACAAGAAGCAGACAAATGAAAATCAGATAAAAACCCAGCTTTTCTTTTTTTTTTTACCTTGAACGCACTCGACAAAGGTGGGTTCCTGAAGAACGTCTAGCGATTAAGATTAGGCAAATTTAGCCGAAAAGTATAATAGCGTGATTTCTTTTCATAAAGACATTACTTAAAACCTCTAAAGTTTTACACTTACCAAGACAAATCGCACACATATAACCATCAGGAACAGAATCAATAAACATTTCTTTAGACAGTCCCATAATGAAGTTTTAAATCTTAGATTAGTAATGATAAAAGGGGTTTTCAAAAACCTGTGTTTATGTATCTTCTACTTATATGAAGCGGAAATTGGAAAACCGTGAGAAAAATAAGAATTGCTATTGTAAGAAATGAAAGAAAATAAATTCCAATTTATTTGGCATATATCGATATGTAAAATACTTAATAATTAGTTGTGTGATTTCCTTGCTCGAAAAATTAAACTCATTTATGCAGGTTGGGGTAAACTTTTTTGGGGCATTGGTTGATTTATTTCATTTACAACTCATATTAACGTTAAAGGAGTTGTGATTGATTTATTATTTGAGAAATCACTTATCGATTTAAGGAGTTGTGATTGATTTATTGAGATAGAAAATCTTTTATCGATTTAGCTGGATTATTTGTATACAAAGATAGCGATAGCAACCAGTAATTAAACTCTCGATACAGTAAACTTGGATTCAAAAGAGTCTAATAATATCCTCTCGATATAATGGATTTTGAAAAATTCTAATAACCCGGATGTAAATAAATATATATATAATTAGTCAAGAAGGCCATCCCTGCTGTCCCCTGACCGCAAGCTCAACAGCACATCTTGCCCAATCAATACCATGATTATGCTTTGACGGACTCTCGCCTAACCCGGCCCGCTCCAACGCTTGCTCATCAGTCAAACAAGTAAGCACGCCAAACACACAAGGCGTCCTAGTATCCAATCCGACACGCATTATTCCGTGAGCAGTTGCTTCGGCGATATATTCAAAATGCATCGTGGAGCCTTTGATTAACACCCCGATGCATATAACAGCATTGAATTTGGGATCACTGTATTTTATAAATTCCTGCGCTGCAAATGGGAGTTCGTATGATCCGGGGACATCTTTGATGCTAATATTCTCCATTTTTACGTTGAATTCTGATAAGAGTGTTTCTCGGGCTCCGGTTACTAGTGCTTCGACGACTGGAAGGTTCCAGCGTGTGTGAAGAATTAGAATTCGGAACTCTGAGCCGTCGTATGGTGTTTCTGAAGGTGTAACTCCTTTAGTGAACATTTTTTTACTCAATTATATTAACGCAGTTCTTTATCAATGATCAAGAATCAAGTACATTTTTTTGTGAAACGTGTAGAATGATATTCTATTGGGTGCTATCATTTTACATATACTCGCGAACACATTCATTACTTAAATTTATAATCAAATATTTTGTTGTCTGATTAACTCGACGAAAAAGACCCAACTCACGAAATAATCCATTTGGGTAAACAACACCACAAAATAATAACTTAGACTACTTGAAAGAACGAAATTGTCTGCGATAAATTTGGATAACAAACGAATGATGATGTGGAAAAGAAAGATTTTAGTATATTTTTTGTAAATGGATTAACTATAACTAATTTGAAAGCAGAGTTGTTTTACAGAAAATCCATTGTTCATGAAAAAAATTTAATCAATATCATGACATATTCCAATAACTTATTGTATAAATTACCCTTTCCTATAAAAACTTTGTCACTCAAAGTTTTTAGTAATAAGCATTTTTTTAGTTTAAGCAGTATTATATAATAATTTGAATTTTATTTTCAGAATTGATGCATTAGAAATTATAAATTAAAAAATATGAGTTATTAAAAGAAATTATTTTTTTTTGATTGTTGTATATATTATATTATTTTATTTAATATACAGTGGCAATCAGAAATAATGCAACGACGTCAAAATTTACTAATTAAACATAGTAAAATGCGTATTTTTCTCT